CAAGAGAGCATTGTTTTGCTGTGATTATTTTGGCATTAAAATGTAATTAAATTCTCTGATAGTTGATTGGTTGCCCCAAGTGTAACTTGAAGAAGGTCCCAGCCCTCTTCTCCCCGCCCCCCCACGTGTGTTCAGGGTTGGGCAGTGGGTCGGAGCAGCCACACCTTGTCTCGCTGGTACTGGTCCTCACTGTGCGGGCCGCTCCCAGCCCCTGGTAAGCCAGTACCAGCTGCATTCTGGGGCATTCCCTTGGCACAAGCACCACCTCCCTCCCAGCTGCCACCCCCATGAGCCCGTGTCATCTGGTGTCATGTGAGTGTACAAAGAACTGTTTTGGAATTCCTAGCTGGAACACTGTCTCAGAGGGCATGTTTCACTTCAGAGAAGATGCCCAAGTCTGAACCAAACTTGGAGGCTTCGAATCCCATGTCTTTCCACTTTTACGGACTGTTCTGGGGGGAACCATCTTGTAATTTGGCTGAAGTTTTCACTCTGGTTTATTTCAGAAATCAAGTATTTATTTACCGTGGACAATGTTTTGGCTAAGCTGTTGGCCCCCTTGGGTGCAGTAGCTCTGAGCCTCGATGCTTCTGTTCACTCCTGTCTACCTGGGGTGCCCTTTCTCCTCTAGATCTTCTAAGGGACTTTCTTCCTTTGGGGCTTGTCTAGGGATTAGCCCTGGTGCCCTCCTGCCTGGCTGCCCTGCTCCCACCTCTGGCAAATGTTTCTCTCTCTGCTGTTTTATTTACCTCCCATTGTCCTTGCCACATTATCTTGTTTGTTATCAGTGCTGGCGACACAGGTGTTACCCCTCAGACTTGGTGGGGCCACAGGCACATGCTGTGCCCCTCCCTGCTGGGCAGGCATCAGGGGCTGGGGACCTCACCCACAGAGAGGGGCCCCGCTTTCAGGAGCTGCTTCCTGCAGAGAGACATAAAACCAGGTGATGAGTGGGCCATCTTTTTGACAACCAGCGAAGTCAGTTACTCCCAAAACCCAGCTCTCATGTAACTCCCAAATTAGGCCAGGGAGATAACCCCCAACAGGTTGGGACCCTGCTCTTCCAGCTCTTGTGATGGTGTGAGAAAGAATTTTAATGTGTGGTCACACAGATTGGACTTGATAACAGATTTGCTTTTAAAATCATCTCCTTTGAGGCCAGGGGGTAGTGTGGTAGTTAAGGCGCTGGACACTCCTGCATGGTCAACCATGGTTCAAGTCCTGGACCCGGTAGCTTGCTTTCTCACTTGCCCTCTTTCTCTCCTTCTGTGTCTCTCTGGTCAAATTAGAATAAATGGATGAGTAAGTAAAATGAAATAAATAATTTTTCTTAAAAAAAAAAATCTTCACTCAAGCAAGTCATTGTAATTATGTTACAGTTGAGAAATACTTTAGCTGTTTATCTTCTCATGATTCAGGGAGCTAGAAGTCTGCGAGCAAGGTGTTGGCAAGGTTGTCCTTGTTGACAGTGTCTTTTTTGTGTCTTCTGTAGATCTCGTGTCTGTCCTAACCTCTTCTGATGCAGACAGCAGTCCTGTTGGGTTAGGGCCCACCCTCGCTTACCTTATTAAAGACTTTACTACGTGGCATTTGGAGGTACCCCCTGTGTGCGACGTGAATCTGGGTGGCGGGGGGTGGGGCATGCAGTGTAGACCCTAACGAGATGGAAACCTTCAGAAGTGTCAGGAGGGAGCTGGAGCTTCTTTCCTGATTGTACTCACTTTAGTTTTTGTTTTAAATGCTTTTAATCAGGAGTCTCTTTCCTTAATACCACCCAGTTTGGGAATGGCAGGACTTAAATGCACTTCCATCCACAGATGCCTCTCTGGTGGCGTGCTCAAGGATCACCTGAGTAGACGCAGGCTTGCTGAGCCCCAGGCAGGGAGGGCAGCTCTGCAGAGCAGCAGGTCTCGGGGAGAAGTTGCCGGCCTTGTTGCCGCTGCTTCCCCTTCCCTGTGTTCTTGTCCTTTTAGTTCCACCTCAGGTGGCAGAGGCCACCCCTACAGCGAAGTGCAGTGATCAGCTCAATCTTACCGTTATATCTGCATGAACTACCGGTTGTCCCATGACACAGTGATTGTCACTTTCAGTCCTGACGAGTAGATTCCGTCTCGGATACATGGCACTCTGCCAGAACCCACTGGGCCTGTGCTTGCTTTGACCTCTTGGCAATGTGCTCTGTCTTTGCGGGACAAGGGAAAGCTCTGTCTAATTGCCTGGAACTCTCCTAGCCCCTTCAGCTCTGAACAGCACTGAGCCCTGGGCCCTGTTCTGCACCCTCACCCAGCTGGGCTCTCGGGTCATCTGCCCATGTTAGCATCCACGGGCTCACACCATGCACTCCTGTGAGCCCCACTAACTTATTTTTCATTTTTCTTAGTGTTTGCTACAGGGTTCATGTGCTCACCGGAGAGAGACAGGGAGGGAGCATGAGAAATCACTCTCCAGGAGGATGGCCATGCTGTAGTCCCTTCTCCAGTCTCCTCTTGGGATTTTAGGCACACACACATACCTGGAGTGATTTTCAAGCCACTGGGTCCAGGACTAGAACCATGGAGCTAGCCATGTGGGATCCAGCACCTTAACCTCCATGCCACCTGCTGCTGGCTCAGCCGCACTTATTTTATTTTATTTTATTTTTTTTGCTATAGGGCGCATACACTCCAGAAAGACAGAGACAGAGAGATAGTGAGAAATCACCCCCCAGGGGGGATGGTCACGCCTCAATCCCTTCTCCTCCATTCTCCTCTCGGGATCTTGGGCACACATGCACATACGCCCGGCATGAGTTTAAGCCGCTGGGTCTGGGACTCGAACCTCGGTCGACTACATGAGAGTCCAGCGACATAGCCATTACACTAACTGCTGGTTCCATCCGCACTTATGTTTATGACAGCAGTTTAGAGGGCAGTGAGTCTACCGGAAGCAGGAGCTGCCTGTCCTCCAGCTGTTCTGTGTAGTACGGGCCGAACCTTCTGAGCCAGAAGCAGCTTTAGCCAGCCCTGCCAGCTGTCAAGGGCTTTCTGGGCTGGCACGGCTCTTTGAATCCATGGTAATGGCTTCCTCCATTGAATGTTGTCCAAAAGCAATTGTTCGCTGGTTTAAAAGCATGTGCCGTGTTGTCTGTCAGGCTCGCCGTCTTACAGACCGAGGCACTGTAGCATCGCGTTAGTCAGAGGTTGCCACTCCTTTCTTGCCCAAATGTCCTGCGTTCCCCCACCGTCCCCAGCATGTCTTTGGATCGCCCTGCTGACCTCATCCTTCCCACGTGGGATGTGCGATGAGAGATGAGAGCAGAACTCTGAGCTTGGGAGGGCTTCTCTCTAGGCGCCTCCCACCTGGTCTTGGCCAAGCCGCTGCCTTCAGAGGGTAGAGGCTGACTCTTCCCCTCCAGTGCTGCCAGGGCTGCAGTAGGAGCTGTATCCAGGGTAAGCAGGTGGAGTCTGTCCTTCCTGGGACTCTATCCTCTGGCTGGTGTCATTTTGACTGCAGACAGCAGGTTGGCCCAAGACGTCCCACCTTGGATTGATGGCTCTTCCTTTCATGGCTATACTGCCTGTGTTTCATTAAGCTGTGGTTTTATTTTGAATAAGCCTCTTTCAACCTTTTAATATTAGTCTACACTAAAATTAACCTTCCCCTGAATTATTCTCACACTAAAGCTGCAAAGTAATTTTGAAAGTTAAATCAAAACAAAGCAATCTTGTGTGTAAAACAGATAAAAATCACAGACTGTGGTTACAGAGTGCCTCTGCAGGAATCGCTTACATAAAGCTGATTTCCTCCAACCTTGTTATGGAAGGAAAAGGGGAAATGCCCTGGCCTTATCACAATCCCGTTCTGTCAAACAAGCGCTGGAGAGCTTGTGTAAACAGTGAAGAGAATGGCGCTCTAGTCACAGCTGGTGTCTGGGGGGGATGTTTGGGGGCTGCCAGGGGACAGTCACTGGGCCTGATTCATGGCTGATCGCTCCAGGGACGTGCTGGAAACATCCCCTCCTTCCCCCAGAACAAGAAGGGGCTTCCCTGGGCGTGAGAAGAAGGGGGCTTATGGAGAGCTGTGGACAGTCTCGAGGCCTGGACTCCTGACAGATTAGTCATGAAGAAAAACAACCAGGGCAGATTCCTGGCTTGAACAGGGAAGCGGGCCGTAGCTCATGGCAGAGACGCAAATGCATTCTGTCACCTTGTCGGGCTGCTCCGAATTTACACCTCGCACTTAGCCACCAAATCAATTGGAAGGCAGATGGGCACGCTGGAAGACCTAAGGACTAGGACGCCTAAAAGTAGTCTGGCGATTTCCTTTCGAACAGTTTCTCAGCTTGTAAAGGGATGGTGGTGGTTGGCAGAGAGGCTGTTATTTGTCATTGCTCTTTGCTCCCCACAGAGTGTGAAAGGATGATGACTGTGCCTTGTGTGCGACGACCTGGGTCACAGTGGCACATCACTGCACCACTTTATTAAGCCTCTTAAGACAGCTTACCCCAAATCACCTGTTTCTCAAAAAAAGGACTACTACCAGAAACGCCCTTTAAGGAGTCCGAAGCATATTTGAATGCCAGTAATGTAGTAAGCTAGTTCCCATCCACCAGATTCACGTTTCCTTTCCTCGGCCACCCCAGCCCCATCGTGGCCTCTTCATGGGAGACCAACTCCAGGGACTGACAATGGCTTTTCTTCAATACCTTATAAAGACTCGCCATTCCCAAGCATTGAAATTCAGGGATTCTTTGGGAATTTTCCAAACATTCTTTTGGTACTTTATTTTCCTATTTTAGGAAGGTGAATTTTAGTATTCCTACCCTTTACAGAGTGACATTTCCCCCTTTGCAGGGGAAATGGAAATGAGTTTCTTAGCAATCTCAGGGAGAACTCGGTGCTCTTTACAGGGGTTCCTTTCACAGGGATTTAAGATCGGTCTAATTACTCACTTAAACATGGCACCCCCCCCCCAATAAAACATCCGGGAGAAACTAAGAGACTTTGCCTTTGTCATTTCAGGTATTTTTGCATAATTACCAAGCTGCCGAAGACCACCCCCAAATGGTTATCTTACGACTGTTACGTTATATCGTCCGCCTGGTATGGAGAATGCGTTGACGGGTTCTTTGCGGAGCTGGAACGGGCAGGCATTTCACACGTTCAAACCGACAGGCCCCTGCACCGCGGCGTCTTGGTGCCATTATTATGTAACCAGCGCTCTTTTCCAGAGGAGGCCTGCGGAGGGCAGGGCAGCGGGTCCTGAAGACACCCGAAGTCACCCGGCTGGATGTGAACTCCACCTTCGGTTATCACCATATGGCAGAATTTCAAATGGAAGTTTGTTATGAATGTAAATGAGGGAAGATTTTTTTTTTTTTAATGTATAAATCGTGGTTCTTTGGAGCAGGATTTTATGCAAGAATGGTGTTTACATGCGGTGTGGGTTTTTTCCACCTTCTTTAGTAAGACCAAGTTTTTCAAAAAGGAAATGGAAACTTTTTAAATCAACTCGTGAATGATTTTTATACTAAAAATTTAAGAACCTGTTGCCTACTCTCAGCGGATTATGTAAACCCTGCAGTGGAAACTGAGCCAGCTAATTTCTAAGGCTGCCTTAGTTTATTTTTAGAGATTACTGTACAGAATTTTTAAATAGAGAGAGGTATGATAAGCCCCCTTCCTTTCCCTGCTATTGTCTCTGTGATCATTTTTTTAAAAATATTATAGTAATACCAAAAGAGTTCTTAAGAAACGGACCTGATTAAAGGGGCAAAGGGCCGGTTGCCAGCCTGCATTGATTTAGCATCCCCATTTTGTAAATATTTACTTACCTCCTTCAGTTCATTGCATCTGTGGCAAAATTTCAGACTCTTTGCATGTTTTTCCTGATGTCCTTTGGTGATGCTCTTCGAGTCTGTCTAGACTGGTCCAGTGTGCTTTCACAATGAAATGTTGGGTCACCACAAGCGTTAGCGTCTGGCTGTGCCGCACGCAGCTCCATCGATCAGTCTAGCATGAACTGACAGACCGGGCAGTGCTCCGTGTTAGCCTTCAAGCGGCGTTGGTGGGCTTGGCAGTCGTAGTGCTGTGTAAGGGCCAGCGGGAACAGCAGACTGAGTGGTGCGCCCCTGTGCATTGTCGGCTTTTCTGGCTGCGGATGTTCCAGTCACGGGGCACTGGCAGTGACAAGTCTCAAGTGGCCAGTCCATCCACCCATGTACAGGTACACGTACCCCAGCACGTGGCCTCATGGGAATTAGCACAGGCAGCAGTGGGGTGTCCCATGGCCATTTTCCTGCCATCTTGGCTCTCAGTCTAACTCATCCTGCCTTGGCTGTGGTGGCTGACATGTGGCATCCACTCCCCTAACACCACTTAGAAATACAGGCTCATTCCATGTTCGTCAGCACCAGAGGAAACAATGCCAGGGGTCAGAAGTCCCCAGTGGCCCTTTGGCTCTTCGAAAGAGGTCTGTTTCACTTTCTCACATTCCATTTCTCTAGAACATTTGGCTTTCATCAGGCCACCTGTGCTTCCACCTCCCTCGGGGTGAGAGTGGAGGTGCCCTTAGGGATTGCAGTGGGTGGGGATCTGCACATTGGTCCCATTGGTCCATCATTTCAAAGGCAGGCAGACAGCAGGAGAAACCCAAGAAAGAGACATGTGGCCCCAGCAAAGGGAGGAAAGGTGATTCTGTGAACCCTGTAACTCATCATTTTGGAACATTTCAGTCATTAGACAACTTTTTCAAAGAAATAACATGAAACGAGACAGTCGTGCCAACAACTATTATATTTGCTTTTGCCCAGTAGAAGACCAGTGTTTTCATGCTACCAAATTAAGAGGGAAAATCTATTCATTTTGTATCTTCATAATTTTATATACATACACTCATATATATAGATAGATAGATTACATATACACTTTTTTCCTTTAGGTAGAGATGATTCAATTCCCAATAGTCTTCCTTTTTTAAAATTTGCTTTTCCCCCAAAATCTCCTTGGGGTTTTGACTTGTTTTAAAGCTCAGCTTGTTTATTGATGTGTCTTGAACCCATTTGTAGTGTCACACATGGTCCATGGCTGTGAGGTGGTGGTGGAATTGCACCCATGGGCTTGCTGGACACACACACCAAAGATGTATTTGGTTCTGGGCCACCCGCCCCCCAGGATCTCCGTACTCGTGCCAGTCTGTCCGACTGGAGCACTTTACTCTGTTTCTTCAGCCTGCAGCTCCCTGGGAGCACACAACGCAGCCCTGGAACACTCGCTAGAGCCCACAGGCTGTGTGTGCCACACGAGCGTGTTTACCTCTGGGCCAGTGGCTTCCAGGCCTCAGTCTGGCCATGGACGCAGCTCATGAGGAAGTAAGAGGTTCTATGAATTGTAGAAGTATTAAAGAAGAGGATGTTGGCACCAAAACTTAAGAGATGACTGGATGTCTCTGTACTGTATGTATCTGTTTATCAAGATTCCTCCTCACAGAAAGTATACCTCCCATGGGTATACCTTTGACTTTTTATTATTGTTTTTAATTTTTTTTTTTTGGTAGGAAAAACTTAATGCGGGTTTTGTGCCTTGACAACCTCTCCCCATGTGAGGTTTGTAAAAAGTGTCCTGTGATTTAACAACAAAATGCAATAAACACACACATAATAGCTTCAGAGTGGGTCTTCCAGCTTCCTTCCCAGAAACAAGTTGATGAAGAGTTTTTGGAGGAGGGTTATAGAGAAACCAGTTTAAAATTCTTCCTGATTTGAAAAAAGAAAAAGGAAAAAAAAAAAAAACAGTGGAGTATCATTTTCTCTTGTTTCCCCCTCTTAGTATTGTATGTATGTTTGACTATTTATTAGAATAGGAGGTCATATTTTATGTATCAACTGAGCCAAATGTCTGTGTGCAATTGTTTCCCCTTTACCTTTCTTGTAAAATTTTGTACAGTTTAAATGAGTAAAAATCACTGTTTTTTCTAAACTTTTTCAGAATCAAAGATTGTAAATATTGTAGATTCTTTTTCTGTGTCATGTGTCCTACTGTTTCGTAATGCTGTAACTTGTACAAATGTTGTATATTTATTTTCTGCTTATTTAATGTCTTACATTCTTGAAAGTGTTGACATCCCTGTGCCCCACACCCTGCTGTCCTGTGAGTGGCTCTAACTCCCCAGGTGTGAGGTGGTTACCAGTCAGCTCATTGCAGACCACATGGTCTGTCCAGAGTGGCCCTCCAGCTTCGGTTCCCGGTATGTCAGTTCAAGTGAGTGTCAGTTCTCGGGCTTCTCTGCCCTTATAATGAAGTATGTGTTGAGATAACCAAGGAGAAACCAAACCTGGCAGGCTGCAAAATTCTACTCTAAGAAATACCCAGCAACCTTCTGTTTATGCCCCCCAAAATGCAGTATTGGCTGTGGGAAAGATCATTCTATTGAAGATTAGTCCCTGACAACTCACTGTTAAGGAAAATAATCACATGCCACTTTTAGGGGGACTGCCATGGGGTTGTCCAGGGCAATGACCAGGCAGGACAGGTGGGCCTGCTTTGAGAATGACTTCAAGACCACCTTGTGCCACTAACCCCCTGTTGGCAACTAGTGAACAGTGTTTCCCCCACCTGCTGTGTGGCTTCCTGTGCTTTGAGATGGTTGGTCTTCAGGCGCTAATTGTACAGGCCCCGTGTTCCCTCCCCTCAAACATTTGGTCGCTGTATTTGGTCAGTGTGGTTCTTCAGGTCGATTCCCTCCTTCCAGTTCTCCCACTCCTTTGAGGCAGTTTGGGGCCCACTGGAATGGATGTCAAGATGTGAAAGCTTGTGGAAGCTTTTGGGAGACTTCCTAGTGGTTCCACAGTGGTGGTTCTGTCATCCCTGCTGATTTAGCCTGGTGCCTGTGTGTGTCCACTCAGCACACGTGTGTGCAGGGATGTGTCCACACATGACGCTAACTCAGTTGGGGTCTACTCCAGACCGCATTGTCTTTGTACAAGAAGCATTTTCAAGCTCCCACTAAAGAACTTGACTACTTTTATTTGGGAATTTCAGACTTTAGAAGCTCTCTTAGGTTTTATGTCCAGGTTCCGTGGCCATTAGTTACTGTATCAGAACTCATCAGGTACCCACTTATAAATAGCACTGATCCGTGTGTATACTGACCCATCTAACTTGTTTCCTAGGACCCAGCGTATGTAGCATTTGTATTGCGATTTCCCTGGCTTACTTGTGTTTTGCACTGATGAATTTTGACAGGGTAATTGCCACTTTACTTGTGCAATACTGCTGTAAATAACTGCAGATTTTTTTTAAGAAACTCAATCTTTTATGTTCTTAATGAATTTTATATAAATAAAACTTTCGACTCAATTTTGGTGAACGGTTTGATTTGTTTTCGCAAAGGGGCAGAGAAGCCGCTGAGGTAAGATGCGAACATCTCCACACTCACGTGTCTACCCTTTATCAATCACAGAATAAGCGTGTGTAGATCTCACAAAGTCGTACTCGAAGACAAGCATGTGTAGTGTACGTAAAAGCAAACCACCTTTTAAAGCTGGCAAGTGGCTGGTGCAGGACCGCGAAGTCGTCTGCCCACGGAGGCAGAAAGGACTCATCACCTGGATCTGGAGGTGTGGAGGGAGGGGAGGTGGATTAGGAGACTGAGCTGTGGTGTATTCATTAGTGATTGTGACAGGTGCCCTGCTGTGCTAGCCCAGCACAGCTGGAAGAGCGAAGACAGGAAGTCGTCCTGACTCAAGTGGAATGGGCTTTGAGTGCCTGCTCAGTGCCGAAGGGGTCACCAACAAGGGCCTGGCCCCGTGGTGAACTGATCCTGCATAGCCTAGTCCGAAAGCGCCTATTCAGAGTTCTGGCATCCTTGATTCAGAGTTAACAGAAATGAGAGCCTGGTTTGAGGATCTAGGTTATAAAATCTTAGTGCGTATAGCATTTGCCACTGTACCTCAAATGCTGGGCAGGGTCAAGACTGTGACGGTGGTGTTTTGAACTAATTATTGGGCCAGTCCTGTATTGTAGTGTTTAAGCACTGCATTGGGAGCCAGCTGACACAGTTCAAATCCTGGCCCTGCCTGCTCGAAAAGCACTGGCATGCGTGTACTCAAAATTCTCACAAGATGGACAAATGGAAGCGAGTTTGCGAGGTAACCAGACCCTGAAATTATATTAGTTTAAAAGGAGTCTTCGCAAAACTCTTTGGGAATCTCATTTGGAATTATAGTGGCTGTATATTAATTTAGAGGCACATTGCTAGTTTCCTGAGATGTTTTCCAGGATAGAGTATTTTTAGCCATCTCCTAGGTTTGGTTTTCATGCCTTTAGTATTCAAAATTTCTCTCACTATATAAACCCTGCATGTTTCTTGAGCTCTTTTTAATAAAATATTTTTTTAGGTTTTTGCCCTAGGGCATGTGCATTCACTGGAGAAAAAAGAGGAAGAAAGTGAAAATCCCCTAGAGGGGATGGCCACACCATAATTCCTTCTCCTTAATTCACCTCTTACAATTTTGGGTACACACACGCATGTGCACGCAGCATGATTTTCAAACTGCTGGGTACGGGACTCAAACCATGTCGGTCATGTGGGAGTCCAGCACCGTAACCACCGTGCCACCTGCCGGCCCCTCTTGAGCTTTTAGGGGTGGGAATAACCAGCATCAGACATCCAGCTTTTTACCAGGATTCCCTTTGTAAGCCTGCCTCCTCCTGCCCCTTCCACCTTTGAAACATTCTCACCCCACCTGAGGCATAGTTAAGGACAGGCTGTGGCCTGAAGGTTGGCCAGTTCAACACTCTCCCAGGACTCAGCACTTAGAACAAGCAAGGCAAGGAGGAGCTGTTCAAGGATACATCCTTGAGGCTGCAGGGGCATGCTCACATTCCTGGGCCAGGGTGCTCCACTGCCTACACACCAGCACACTGTTCCCGGTCTTCCAGCTTCCTGTTGATCTGGAGCCCAGCGCTCCCATAAATTCTCTTTGTGCTAAATTAGCCAGTTGTTCTCTGCTGCTGGCAGCTGAAGCGCTGACTCATTCCTACCTGTCAAAAGGACTGAATAAAAAGATTGCAAGAAGTTCTTTATAAACAATATGAACTCGGAAGGTGTGGGGTGACAGGTTGATTGTTGGAATTCCCCACTAGGCAAGACCAGAATGGGACTGTGAGGAGGTGGGGAAAATAGCAAGCAATCTGATGGTCTTTAATCTTTTTGGGTGACTTCTACCAGTTGGTCTCCTTCTCCTGGAAACCCTATCTTCCCTAAAGAAAGCCCTGTCCTTAGAAGAATTGATAACCAAGGAGAAGATAGAATATAAAGGTTGAATAACCCCTATACCTGAAAATGCGTAGAACCAGATGTGTTTTGGATTTCAGAAATTTTGGGGAGAATATTTGCATATATTTAATGAGCTAGCTTAAGGATATGGGACCTTATGTTTTATATATACCTTAAACCTTATAGCCTGAAGGTAATTTTATACAATATTTTTGTATTATAGTGTTTTTTGACCATGACCTATCACATGAGGTCAGGTATGGAATTTTATAGTGAACAAGTTTCAGGTTTTGGAGCATTTCACATTTCAGATTTTCAAATGAAAGAGACTCAACCCATATTAGAATGTCAAAGTCCATTGCTTGTTATTGCTTAATTATATGTATTACTAAAAAGGATCCAAGAAGGCAAGACTCTAATAACTACTTGGCCTTGCCTCCTTAAAATAGATTTGGGAAGAATTAGCTCTTATAATAACCCCTTATCCCGTAACTTAAGATCTAACTTGAGCCACTCTTAACATACACCGTCAAGATGTCATGTTTCATTGTAGACTGGCCTCACAGGGACATCAGCTTATGCAACATTATGATTCGTTTAGTAGTTTAGGTGATCATTTTCCTTAAAAGTCAATTTAACCCAAATATGAGTAGAGACCCTACATAGGCCAGTACAGATGAGAATATAAAACCACTCAAATCTAGGACACGCTAGGGAGGCTGTTCTCAAGGTCTCAGGACCAGCAAGCAGTAAGACCATAGCAAAATTCTGTAATGGGGTCCCTAGGGAGGGAGCTGAGAGAAGTGAAAAGAATGGGCCTACAGTATAATGGGGGATCTTGCCCACCTCCCAACTGTCCCTCCAATATGAACGCAGAAGGTGTGGGGTGACACAGAATTCCAACAGAAGGTGTTGGAATTCCCCACTGGGTGCCCTATAATGATAACTAACCACTGGACACTTGCTACGTGTGAGACACTGTTTGACATACCTCGTAACTCATTTTCATCTCAGAACAAAGACCCTTTGGAAGAACTGCCATTATTATTTGCCCTGAGTATCCAGAAACAGAACCTGAATTTTGAAGAGTTTAAGCCACTTGCTCAAGAGCATTGATCTCATCCATGGCAGAGCCAGGATATGAAGTCAGGCAGTGTGGCCTTGCTAGAGCACCTACATCTGACCACTCCCCTGTCCTCTCTCAGGGCTCCACAGAAAAGGGGAAGGATGCTTAGTCAGGGTCTGCCCTGGACAGGATGCCCATGAGACAGTCTTACTTGAGAATAGTCCCAGGCATTCTGGGGACTCATGACTATGTGCCCTGGTCTGAATCCACTTTGAGGGAATGCATCTATGGAATGCATCTATAGGCCCAGGTTTAGCTTGCAACTCTAGCCCACTAGTGCATTTTAACTTTACCCATGGTTCACCTCATAGTAGGGGACTCTAGTCCTTCATGTCCCACCTAGCTGCGTATTTCCCAACTAGTTCATCGCTTCATGTCTAGTCCCTTACTTCCTGCAGAGTCCCACACATCCTGCTAATTCAGCACTTCCTGCCCAGTCCCCCACTTCCTGTCTAGTCCAATACTTCCTGCTTAGTCTAGTACTTCCTGCCTAGTCCAGCCCTTCCTGCCTAGTGCTACACTTCCTGTCTAGTCCAGTACTTCCTGTTTAGTCCTATGCTTCCTGTCTAGTCCAGCACTTTCTGCCTAGTCCCGTACTTCCTGTCTAATCCAGCACTTCTCGTCTAGTCCTGCACTTCCTACCTTGTCCCACACTTCCTACTTAGTCCTGTACTTCCTACCTAGCTCCACACCTTCTATCTCATCCAGAACTTTCTGCCTAGTCCTATACTCCCTGCCTAGTTCCATACTTCCTATCAAGTCCTACACTTCCTGCCTAGCCCTACACTTCCGGTCTAGTCCTACACTTCCTGCCTAGTCTTGTACTTCCTACCTAGTCCTATACTTCCTACCTAGTCTCACACTTTCTATCTAATCCAGAACTTTCTGCCTAGTCTCACACTTCCTACCTAGTCCCACACTTCCGGCTTAGTCCCACACTACCTGCCTAGTCTCACATTTTCTGTCTAATCCAGACCTTTCTGCCTAGTCCTGCACTTCCGTGAATGCTTTTGACTTGCCTTGAGGACCTGCTGGGGACCTGTGGGTTGTCTCAAGAGTTCTTGGTTTTGCCTGAGCTTGCCAGTTGCTGTCGCTTTCTCTAGAAGATGTGGCCTCTGAGGGAGAGCCCCTCCTCTCTACCCCTGTTTGCTTACCCCCATAGTTAGGGAGGGGCAGCTTCCCAGATATTTGCTCATGTTCTAAGGCCGTTTCAGTGGGTCGTCCCAATGGCAGGGTGATGAAGCACAGAGGCCAGAAACCCCCAAGTACGTGATCTTCTCAGGTAAGATGGGAACAAAACTGGCCTGTTCCGTTCACATCTTGACCTTGAAATCTTTTGTCCTCAGACCTGGAGCAGGGAGATGTTCTAAATCCAGAGCCTCCTCAGGGAGTTTTTTCAAAAGGCAGCAGGGCCTCCCTCTTAGAATCACACATCTCCAATGTTGTGTTTTCTATAGCCCCCAAGTGACTCTAGGAGTGGCAGGACTTGGGAGCCACTGAACCCCACCTTGCTCAGAACTCCAGTGATCTGTGAAACAGTGGGCCAGGCAGCAGCAGCACTAGATCAACTGATTCTTCCCAGGGAGAGTGCTATAAAGGACGACACTCAATGAGGTGCTTTCTGTTAGTTTAAATTTTTGTTGTAGTTGCAAAATGTTCACTTCTCATTTCTGTCTCCCTCTGCCAATTTGCTTTGGCTCAGGCATCCAGGCTTTCTGCCAAATTTGGGGTGAGTAGGAGGACGGAGTGGGCTGGAGAGCCCAGGGCCAAGGCCACGGCTGGGTACAGGCGAGGTGGCCCCAGGCTGTGTGCCCTGGGAGAGCCCAGTCATCAGCAGGTGAGTCAGAGCTTGCTGTTGACAAATCCAAAGGGCTCAGCGAGGTCAGACCGTAGAAGAAGAGGGTGGGCTCCAGGAAGGGTAGGGTGGCACAGAATCAGTGTGTAGAAAAAGTA